ATTTTACTGATGTGGAGACTGAGGCTCAGAGAGGTTAAGTAACTCATCCAAGGGCACACAGCTAGTACGTGGCAGCCGCGGGCCCTCCCCCACTCCACTGTCTGCTCCCTAAAACGCTGGCAAGTCCATTTTAGGGTTCCCAGCCTGTGGATAGGGGCAGTTGACATGCTGGTGGGCTCCATGTTTTTGTTTCAGCTGGTCTGTGTGCTCTGAACGCTTATACCGAAGGTCTGAGGCTTCGTTCGCTAGCCCCACGTTCAGGCCAGTGTTGGGGACACTGGCAGAAACTCCCACTCAGGCTTTCAAAAGATGCGTATTTGGGAGAATGTGTAGCCATATGGCTCCTAGTGGCAGGGTGGCTGGGAGGAGTGGTGCTGCCCCCATCCCTGGGCGTACTCCCAGGACCTTCTCTGGCCCGAGGCTATAATGCTCAGCACAGGAACCGGATTCCCTGTAAAGGGCTCCAAGCCCAGGTCCCGGTGGGGCATCCTGCCTGTGCACGGGTGGCTGGCAGGAATCTGTGGATCCCAGACCCATTGGCCTTTATGGTTGACTTACTTGAGGTGTGATGTGCAAGACTGGGAGCCTGAGCAGCAAGACCTTGAACACGAGGCAGAAGGAGTGGGACAGCTCGGTTTTGTACACAGGGGGTGGGGGTGAGAGCAGAGGAGTGACATGCCCGGGGCACAGAGCCGGGGAGAGCTGGGGCCGTTGCCTTCCCCTCCCACACCCCTCTCTTTCCCCGGGCACCGTGGCCACTCCTGCCCCCTCCAGCGACAGAATGTGCAGCCTGCAGCCTCTCTCACAGCCTGGTGGCTCAGGCGGCGTGGGGCCTCCGGGTCTGGCAGGGAGGAAGTGCCAGACCTCCCCTGTGGCCTTATTTTCCACGTGTAGATGTGATGCACTTGAGCTTCCCACTTGCTGTGTGACTTGGGGCAGATTACTTACCCTCTCTGGGCTTCCATCTGGTCAGCCGTAAAAGGAGCTGGTGGTCTTGCTTGGCTGATTGTCAGCTGCTGGTCCGTTTCCAGACTGTGCATGTTAGGGATGGGCACAAAGCCCAGACGGGTGGGCTGGGCTGGCTTGACTCAGCACGGCGGACCCTTCCCCAGTTTGAGGTGAGGTCCCCTGGGGGAGCAGGGCTGTGGACTCAGCTCCTCCCCAGAGCAACACTGAGGCCCTCCTCCATGCACAGACTCCTCTGACCGATAACATAGGGAAAATAAAGGAATCCCAAATGGGCTGAGAAACACCAGCTACCGAGTAAGGGAGTGCTGTCCCTATGGTAGCTGTTAGGTGCAGGTGGCTAAGGCAATTAAAATTAAATAAAAATAAAAACTCAGCGCCTCACCGGTACTAGACGCATTTTAAGGGCTCAATAGCCACATGTGGCCAGAGGCTACCTTTGTGGACAGTACAGAAAAAGACAGTCATCACCCTCCCAGAAAGTTCCATCGGACAACGCTAGTAGATCAGTGTTTCTCAAACCTTTTTTTTGGTCGTGGAACCCCTTCGTACCCTTAAAAACTACTGAGGACACCAAAGAACTTTGTTTATGGGCTATATCTAATATTAACATTCATCATAGTAGAGACTAAAACTGAGAGTATTTGAAAGTACCTATTAAATCACGCAAAGATAAACTCTTTACACGTTGACATCAGTAACATATTTTTCTATTAAAAATAACTATATTTTTCCAAACAAAAAGAGACTTAGGAGGAGGAGTGGCATGGTTTCATGGTTTTATGTTCTTGCAAATCTCTTGAACGTCTGGCTTAGCAGAAGGCCACAGGACTCCCCTGCCTGTGTTTTCGTGAGCATGGAACCATCACCTGGTACTGTAGTCTCTGGAAACGTTTGCCTGAAGGCAGGACAATGTTAGAGTGTAATTATGAAAACCACTTCACCTTGCGAGCCCCCGGAAGGACCTTGGGAGACCAACGTTGTGGAGAATCACTGATCTAGACTTTTCCCTCTGCTTTACAGTGGGTCACGAATGCCGAGCGAGGGTTCGAGATCCCAGCCCAACACTCCTCATTTTAGCCCGTTTTAGCTGAACCTGGAGACGTGGGCAGGACGGGTGTGAGCACCAGTCCGGGACACCCAGTTCAGGCGGGCGCAGCGTGTCCACTGACCGTGCTCAGTGCCCAGCTCCGTACCAGCGCTTAATCGGTGCTCTGCACACATTTGTGGGGGGAGCAGGGGGAGCTTGGTCTCCTCTTCCGAGGTTGGGAGGGTGTGGCTAGGGAGCCTCGTGGATGTGTTGGCCCTTTGCGTCCAGGGCCGGGCAAGTTCCCAACCGTGGTCCGCGTGGACACTGCCCTGGCCTTTACTCCTGGCAAATCTGAACATCAGAGGGCAAGCTGGAGTGCTAGTAGGAGGCTCCCGGGCTGGTTTTTCCCAACTCAAGTCTGTAGTGGGTTTGACTCTGCCCGAAGTGGGTCCTATGCCTGGGCACTGCCCAAGAGCTGGTTTTTCTGGAAGATGTGGAGCAGCATGGGGCTTGAGCTGTGGAGGAGGGAGGGGAGCACGGGCCTGTTCTGCAGGTGGTCTGGTTGGTAGTGGGGGGCAGAGCAGAAGAGGGAGGTGTGGGCCGGGGAGGAGTAGCTACCCGCAGCATGGCGGCTTGGGCCTACGGGATGCCGTCCGACGCTGTCCCCTGACTGTGGGAGACGGGAAGTCGTGGAGGTGTCGGGGTGCTCTGCATGCTTACGGCATCCTGGAGACCAGTGGTTAAATATCTCGGGGCGGGCAAGTCGTTAAAGCATGAGCGGTGTGAGATTGGCCTCGGTGGGAATGTTGACACCATGGGAATCAGCAAAGGCTACAGATCAGAGCTTACTATTTTTGGAGAACTGTTTTACCAGCATGCTGCAGCCTGGGCACGCCTCTCTGCATCCCACCCCCTCTTTATTGGCGTAACAGGTAATATACACACGGTTCTGAACGTGGACACATTCACATGCTTATATAGTTCTCCCGGCAAAACCGGCAAGACAGGGAAACTGAGGCTGTTTGGAGAGGCTGCGAGACTTGCCCAAGGTCATCCCTGGTGCATCCCAAGTCACGGCCCTTGGGTGTCACATCCTCCTCCTTCCGCTGTCTCTCTCCCTGAGAGCTGAGCTCTGGGGCAGGGGATGAGGATCTCCTTAAAGTCCTTCCGGGGCCCCATTCTCCTGACTTGAGCAACGCCATCCTTTGGCCGCTCGGTTCCTGCTCTCAGTCAGTTTTGCCTGAGCCCTGAGAAGCCTGAGGATGAAAAGCGGGTATTCTCTGCTCCTGCCTTTGGGAACTGGCCGGGGCTGGGACACTCTCCGGGGGGTGAGGACACTGGAGCGCAATGCCTCCCCTGGGGCCTGGCAGCCATTGAGCCCTGAGCTGTCGGGCGGCCCTTCATCACTGGGGTCCAGTGGGCAGTGGGGCGAAGCCACGGCTGGTTATCCCAGGTCTGCGTAGAGTCTCTCTGCCCACACAACCTCAGCTCGTAGGTGTCCTGACACCTTCTCTCTGCAAAGCTGGCCTCGTGATGGGCTCTCAAACCCTCCTGTACCTTCGTTGTGGCGTTGGGCAGGGGGTCCCGCATCCCAGCTGCGGCCCGCACTGGGAGGCCTCCCTGTACCTCATGGGATCTGCCTGCCCCATCAATGGGGATCAGGCTGCAGGCTGCGTGGGTCAGCTGTCCTCCATTTATTCCCAGACGTCAGTGTTTTCCAAACCTTTTTGATCAATACCCATCATAAGAAAAGCATTTTACACTGTGATTCCAGTTCACACGTCCATCGCTGAAACAGGACCTACTTGGGTGATGCCCTGGGTGTTTCCTACCCTGCCCTATCCATCCTACCGTTCGTCTTTTTCTCAAGTTGCTGGTTGCAACCCGCTAAATTACTTTCATGCCCCACGAGTGGGCCTGAACCGTCAGCTCTGGAAATGGTTTTAGGTGGTTCTGTCCTGGGAAGGCATGGGCGTTGGTACTAGGTACTTAGTCCCTAGTTGCGTGATTGGCGGAGGTCTGCATGGGGCCAGACCTCGGGAACTTGGGTGCCCAAGTGGGGACCGTTAAGGAGAAAGAAGTTAGGAGCTTCCGAGGATCTGGCTGCTCAGAACACTGACCCCACTTGAGAGGAATACAAGACCTGATTTTTGGGTCTCTTGTCCTGGTGATGGCCCCAGGTTCTGGGGGGCCTTGGGAGCTGGATGGTCATAGAGACCTCGGGAATGTCGGTCAGCGTGAATTCAGGCAGGGCTGGGAAGGTAGGAGGGAGGCAGCGAGTCCGGTTGAAAAATGAGTGGACCCAGCTTTGCAAGAGCTGTTGTGCCTCCAGAAGCAATTTCAAATTTCGGGCCCTGATCCCCGCAGAACGAATCGCCCGACAGTCCTGTTTACAACGCTGGGTTTCACTAGAATCTTTCCACTCCTGTTGCTTGTGAAGCCCTTTCTTGGGGGTGGGGGGCTGGGAGCAGGAACTCTGCCTGCCTTTCACACTTGTTTTTCTAGACGTATATGGTGTTGAGAGTGTTGGAGACTGGTATCTGTGGCATGCCTTTTCAAAAATGTCCTGCTAGTATTGGACCCTCTCTGTGTTTGTGAAATTGCTTTTTTGTATTAACACAACCTTTGATCAACATTTGTAGCGAAGAGGAAAAATCCTGCCGGTGTATGTTATTGTTTGCAGTGGAATAGAAAAACTTAAAAAAATAAAAATTCAAGATGCCTCATTCTTGTCCAGCTGTCTTTTTAAAAATAACATCTGTCCAGGGGCCCCTGGATGGCTCAGTCAGTTAAGCGTCTGCCTTCGGCTCAGGTCATGATCCCAGGGTCCTGGCATCATGGGTCCCGGGTCGGGCTCCCTGCTTAGCGAAGAGTCTGCTTCTCCCTCTGCCGCTCCCCTGGCTTGTGCACTCACGTGCGCTCCCTCTCTCTCAAATAAATAAAATCTTTAAAACAAAAAAATGCTATTAAAAAACATAACATCTGTTCATTCTTTTTATCAAAGCAGTCTCTGTTCACTGTAGAAGATTTGGAGTATTTGGAAAAGCATAAAGTAAATGAAAAACCCTGCATTAGCTGTCTCTTGCTGCAAAACAACCCTAAAATACAGTGGCTTCAAACAGCAAAAATCATCGGCATCTCTCATGGCTTCCGTCAGTCGGGAATTCAGAGTCTGGGCCTCAGCCTGAGGATGTGAGGGCTGGCCGTGAAGATCGTCTGAAGGCACATTCACTCACAAGTCCGGTGGGGCACACTGGCAGCCGGCTAGATCCTGTTTCAAAATGTAGATTTTATTATTCCGGGATGGTAAGGCCAAGAGATCAGGAGATGACTGACCTGGAAAAGATAGTTTGTCCTTCACAGTTCCCGGGGGAGGGGGCACGGGATGCCACACGGGGCCACATGGGGAAGCACTAGGGTAAGGGGGCAGAGAGCAAGGGGAAAACATGGGTATCAGGTTTGTTGTGGCTTCTGAGGGAGGGAACAGATGAGGTTTAGGATTAGCAGATTTAGGATTGGCTAGTTTGAGGAATTTCCGCAGGCTCTGGTGCATAGGGGGGCTGTCCCTCGTTGTGTGGCATTTGGTCCTGGGGTGATGAGGACAGGGGAGTATTGGTCTGGAGTATGTGAGCCAAACAGAGAAGGTGGGGAAGGCTGGTCTCCAGACTGGTGGTTTTGCATATGAAACGTATGGCTCACAGGTGGGTTGTTTACTCTCTCCAGAGATTGGCTACTCCTGGGAGGGGCAGTCTTCCCATGGTTGGTATAAGGGCCCAGATATGAAAACATCAAAAGCAAAGACATCTTAATACACACCAAGTGACTTCCCCATTGGTCTGGGCTTCCCTTTACAACAGGGCAGCTGGGTCCCAAGAGAAAGAAAGAGCCAGGTAGGAGACAGATGTCTTTTATGACCTAGCCCTGGAAGTCTTCACTTCAGCTATATTCTACAGTTGACACAGCTAAAAAGTTCTTCCAGGAAAAAAAAAAAGTCCTCCCATGATCAAGGAGGGAGGGAAGGCAGACCTCCTCCGCATCACCTGATGGAGGAGAGTCCGAGTTACAGTGGGAGAAGGGTGTGTGGGATGCGGACGTATTGATAGGGCTGTCTTTGGCAACTGCCTCGAACTCCATCACCCGGAAATAATCACCGTTAATATTCCCGATCTATCCCACTTCACCTCTCTTGAATGTGTTTGACAATGGAGAAGTGATGGTATTATTAAAATTTTGTGTTCTTGGGCAAGTCCATTAGCCTCTTGTGGGTTCATGTAGACACTGAATTAGATTAAGAGCTCTCACACATGTCTTTCCTTGGGTGATAGAAAGATCTCCAGCTGGACCAAGCTCTTTCACCCCAATTTGAAAAATGACCACGTGTTCCCAATTCTCATTTCAAAAAAGTTACTGCATCGTATTTTCTCAATCTTAATTATTTTTCTCATACATACATCATAAACCAAATGGTACTTTCTATAAGAAATGCTCACAGGCATCAAATCAAGTAAGCAAATAAAAAAATGAATGGAAATGTCAGACTCAGCCAAACATATTTGGTTTCAGCCATGTGTTTCTTGAGGCCACCTGTGCCCATGTTCGTGATTTTATGTTGTGATCATATCACATGGTCATATTTGATCCTAACTCCTACTTGGTTTGAAATACAGCTTTTCAACATGTTCCCCAGTCCCAAGACTGGGATTAGAGTTTCCAGAGCCTTCCCCACCTGAATAGTTTATTAACCACGGGGGTAGATGATTTCTCAAGTCCCACCTGGACTAATATCTTTGACAATCAAGCAAATGTGGTTCAGGTTCTGTAGAACAGACCAAGCACTCAAGAGTCAAGTGAATTGACATCATCCCTTTTAATGGCACGGAACTCTTTGCTTGTTTCGACTGAACACACCTACTACTCCTGGCTTCATTTCCCATCTCTGTGCTTGGAATCAGCGTTTTCCAGTGAAACATCTTACCTGAGCTGCAGATCCAGATGCCTACTAGATATTGACATCAGAATAGACATATCAACTTTAAACGGAATAATATCAAGTATCTTTTCTCTGTAATCTGGGTACCCCATACGTTCCCAGGGCCAGGAGGTACTACACCTGTTGGTTGGAAGTTGCTCAATATATGACACGGCAAGAAAAATAACAGTCACTGAGTTTTGGCTGATGAGTTAACAAGGAATGGCCAAACCCAGAGTGCGTCTCGGTATGGGTTGTGGTGCTGAGTTCATCGAGAATGGGACCGCAGGACAGAAAGGCCAGGATCTAAGGCTGTGTGTGTGCCTGCCGACACTTGTCCTTCCTCTCTGCTGGTCCCCCCAAGAGCCCAGTCTTTCCGCCTCTAGACAGGTCATCTCTTGGGAACCCTGCTCTTTGACTTTCACCAGATGCTTTTTCTTTGGGCTCCTTTGCACCTTTCCTTGATGGCGTCCCGGGACTCTGCCGCCCTCTGGTGGCCACGGAGGGCAGTTCAACACTCCGTTTTATTCCGTGGATTTCCAAAGATGTTCAACCTTGCAGCTCAAAAACTTGTTTTGCTCACCTGCCCATGGGCCTGGCGCGGATGAATAAAACTCGGTTGTTGCCCTTGATAAGCTTCCAGCTGAGGGGATGAGAAGGCGATGGGTGGAAATCTATTCATTCCTTTGTTTACTCATTTAACCAGTATTTATTGAGCACCTGTAGGCTCAATAGTCTAGCAGTAAAAAAGGCAAATGAGGTGCCTGCCTTTACAGAACACAAACCCCACTGGGTGTTAAATACTCCAGCAAATACTTCAACAAATAGTGATAAGCGCCTATGAGTTAAATGAAACAGGTAATGAGATAGAAAAGGACCACAGGGGTGGCCGTGGAGAGAATGGTCCAGAGATGGGAGTGGAGCTGACTTTTGTGAGGGGAAAGTGCCAGCATCCAGACACAAGAGGAAGAGCATTTTGGGAAGAGGAGACAGCAAGGGGACAGGTTTCAGAGGAGGGGATGAGCCTAGTGCATTTGAGAACAGAAGTTCTGTGCGGCTGGTGCACTGGGATGGAGGGGGCATTGGAACGATCAGCAGGCCAGCTGGGTAGGGTTTGAGCCCTGCCTTATTCTAAGTGCAAGGGGGAGTCATGGAGGAGCATAGGCCGAGGAGTAACCTCTCGTTTGCATCTAAGGAACATAGTTTGATATAATGGGAACCCGTGGGAGCACAGGGGAGGGGTGCAGATCCAAGTCTGGAGGGCAGGGAGCCCTTCCTGGATAAGGCGTATTAGCTGTCTATTGCTGCATAACAAACTGCCCCCAAACTCAGTGGGTTAAATCAATAAGAAACATTTATCATCCCGCAGTTTCTGAGGGTTGGGAATTTGGGAGCAGCTCTGCTGGGTGGGTCTGGCTCGGGGTCCCTCATGAGATGCAGTCAGCATGTTGGTCAGAGCAGCACCGTCTGAAGGTTGCTGAGGCTGGAGGGCCCGCTGGGGATCCCTTTGGAGGTCGGCTACCGCATAACTAACACCGAATCTGAGTCTTAAAGGAAGAGTGGGGATTGGCCAGTGGGGATTGGAAGAGTGATGAAAATGAGTGTTAGGGCTGAACTGTGTCCCTCTAAAATTCATAGATTGAAGCGCTGACCCCCAATGCCTCAGAATGCGACTGTATTTGCAGGTGGGGCCTTTAAGAGGTGATTAAGGCACCTCGAGGTCATTGGGGTGGGCGCTAATCCACTATGACTCGTGTCCTTGTAACAGAAGATTAGGACACAGACACAGAGGGATGTCCACGTGAGGACGCAGGGAGAGGGCAGCTGTCTGCAGGGCAAAGACAGAGGCCTCGGGAGAAATCAACCCTGCTCACACCTTGATCTTGGCCTTCTAGCCTCCAGACCATGAGAGAATAAATGTCTGCAGGTTCAGCCGCCCAGGGTGTGGTGTTTTGCTGTGGCAGTTCTTGAAAACGAATACAGTTGAGAAAGGTGTTCCAAGGCCTGAGCCAAGATCCAGATGTGTGAAACAGTGTAGTAATGCTGTGTAGTTGGCATTACTAGGGGGATCCTGAAGAACAGGGGCCGCAAACTCCTGTACAGAACCAGATGGTAATATTTACTTTAGGTTATTCCAGGCTGTAAAGTCTCTGTTGCAGGAAAATGGTTATAGACAATACATAAACGGGGATAGCCGTGTTTCAATAAAACCTTGTTTACAAAAACAGTAGTCCACAGGCCATCGTTTGCCAAGCCCTGTTGAAGAGGGGTGCAGGGCCTGGGTCATGGTGAGAAGTAGCTTGGGAGGAGAACACAGAACTAACCTCAGGCTCTCCTTCCAGCCCTGATATTTGCCTTTTGAGGGTCAAGGTTGGGGAGGTTTGTGGGGAGTCCTATAAACGTTCCCGTGTGTATGTGGGGAGTCCTGTAAAGGGTATTATACAATCACACAGTCCCAGCCTCAGTTCTTGGCTCTACCTCTGTCTGGTCTCTCTGAACCTTTTTTTCTTCATCTGAAAAGTGGAAGCAACAACATCTGCCTCCCAAGAGACAATGTGAGCTCTAAGTGAGGTGATACAGTAGGTCGCCCATTAATGACTGCCCCCCCTTTCCTCTTGCATATATGGAGTCACTATTATAAGACTTTCTACCCCAATAGTGAGCTGTCAACAAAAAGGTTCACTGCCAGGGGCAGAATTCTGCATCTACATCCAAGACCACGTGAATCCCCCAGGTGTGGACAAAGGGACGAGTCTTTCCCCAGCGGGAGGACTGGTGCCAGAGTTCTAAGGACATGAGCTTCTGTTAAAACACCTTACCCAAGGAGGGCCGTGGGGCCAGAGCCCTGGAGCTGACCTGGCCCTGTTTTGCATCGTTTTAAGCAGAAGTGCCATGATTTGATTTGTCATTTAAAACTCTGGCTGCTGGGTGGGGGACAGATTGTAGGGGAGGAGGGACCCTTGTCAGGGTCTTAGATGTTCATATATTGGAGTCGTCCCCTTTTTGGTAGGCGTTTGCTTTACCTTTCTCTCTCGGTTTTCTGGGCCTGTTCATTGGGGGTCTAGAAAGTGGGGACAAGGGTGCCTGGGTGGCTCAGTTGGTTAAGCGACTGCCTTCGGCTCAGGTCATGATCCTGGAGTCCCTGGATCGAGTCCCGCATCGGGCTCCCTGCT